ATATATATATATGCCTGTTCTCAGTCAGTTCCAAGGAGACAGAAACTGCTGGTAGCCTCCAAGCATCTTACACAGGTCTGCCACATAAACCTTGAATAGTTACATGAAACCCAAGTAGAGTTTTTTCCCCATGTTCTTCTGCTCACACTCACATTCTGCCACTTCCTTCCTTTAGATTGACTTTGAAGATGTGATTGCAGAACCAGAAGGGACACACAGTTTCGACGGCATCTGGAAAGCCAGCTTCACCACCTTCACTGTGACCAAATACTGGTTTTACCGCTTGCTGTCTACCATCTTTGGCATCCCAATGGCACTCATCTGGGGCATTTATTTTGCCATTCTCTCTTTTGTGCACATCTGGGCAGTTGTACCATGTATCAAGAGCTTCCTGATTGAGATTCAGTGCATCAGCCGTGTCTATTCCATCTACATCCATACCGTCTGCGATCCACTCTTTGAGTCTATTGGCAAGATATTCAGCAACATCCGCATCAACCTGCAGAAAGAAATATGAATGACATTTCAAGAATGGAAGAATTCCTGATTCTTTTTGGTTTTCCTTATAATTTCCTTGGTGCCAATTTCAAGTTTCAAGTTGTTAGTCCGGCAACAACTATGAATGGTTTGTCTTGGTTCGGATCAAAGAAATCACTTGCTCAGTTTTTATAACAGTTACTTGGTATCTGAACTATTGCATCTGTTTTTGGCAGCCTGAAGTTTTTAAACCCATTCCAGTATTTTCTCTTGATTGGCAGGCAGGTCATTGTTTTATTGGCTGAAATATAAAAGCATTGTTGGAAGATGATTTGATGAGACTAGGAAGAACTGGGGGAGGGGGAAGAGAACCAAAAACCTCAACTGCCTACTCTAAAATATTGATCATGCCATAGGAAAGGAAGAATTCCAGGCTGGTGCCACAGGCATAGAGGCATGTGGGTAGTTTTAAGCAGACTTTCCCCCAACAATTTGAGGAGTTAAAGTTGCTGTCATTTCTCTTACTAATCCAGTGGGATCTAGTAGCCCTTAACATGTTACAAACCATAATCTCCTTCATGCTCCAGACCACACTAATGTCTTATTCTTCTTGACATTCTAACCTGTAATACTTTGTATGCTTGATTATTTGTTGTACTGATAATAAGTCCTAAGTGCCTTCCAATTTTTAATTTTTCCTTTTCAAATAGGGTCTGATTCATTGACTTTTATTAGATCAGCAGCTTTCCTGGGAACCAAACAGAAAATCCACCACCTAGCTCCCTATGCTTGTTTCTGACTCTGAGACACAGAACTTGGTGGTGCTCATGTCTGCACTTGGTCACGTAGCATCTTTCTCCACAAGAAGTATGGTCAACATTAACCCAGTGAAATGAATTAAAGTGGACAAATGTGTCTGAGCCCTCTCTGGGCTGGCAGGAATAGAAGCCAGGTTTCCCTGCCTCTCAGCAGCTGAATGAGGTCAGCATGTCTATTCAGCTTCATTTATTTTCAAGAATAATCATGCACTCCTGATTTCAAACTAATCCATCACCAGGGTGGTTTAGTGGTTCAACATTGTGCTCCTTATTCATCTGATCAGTGGGCCTCCAGGGAAGGGCTGTCAGAACGGAGGCCATTGTGTGAGACTGCCTAAGCCCTGGCAAGCATGCCCCTTCCACGCATCGCACTCTAAATGGTCTGGTCTGCTGATGCTCGGCCCCTCCCCCTGCCAGGATTCTTGGACCTGATCCAAGCATCATTTTGCTCAGAGAGAAGATGGGGAGGAGGCAGCAATAAAAGCTTGAGGTAATTTTTGCTGGAACAAGTTCAAGTTCTTCTGAACTCAAACTGAGGAATTTTACCTGTACACCTGAGTCATCCAGAAAGCTGCCTGGTACATCCGAGAGCTTTTTATCCCTCCTGCTCACATTGCAACTCTGCCCTTGAGAGTACTTTATAATTGCTAGTTAGGCTTTTATTTTCCATTTTCATACATTTAGTGGCATTCTTCTTGACTTTTTTCTTTGCCTCCTTCAGTTTTTCTATCACTTTGACTACCAACCTGTTACTTACTTTGATTGTTTGCATTCAAAACAGACACTGGCATGGACATAGTTTGACTTTTAAACTGTGTACATAACTGAAAATGTACTATACTACATACTTTTTAAGTGTAAAGGTATTTTTTATCTTTATATAAGGAAAATCACTTGGAAAAAGTCTTGTGGTTCAGTTTCTAAACTGTGTATCCCAAGACATGTCTGTTCTTCCTACATGCTTAGTCTGTCAAGCGAGTCAATTGCTGGTCCAAAACATTATGAAAATTTTATATGCTTACTGATATATTTTACACATTTTTATGCTGCATGTCCTATAAAGATTTCAAATCTGCACAATAAAAAGTTTTAACAGTTGAACAGTTCACAGGTATTTGTGTATGCAGAGAATGTAGGGAGCATGTATGTGGGTTTACATGTCTATGCTATATTTGAGAATGGGGTCAGTAATGATCTACTTCTCAAATATTTAAAATTCATTCAGGGGAGATCTTTCTTCTATGGTCATTGCTATTCAAGTGTTGCCTCAAATAAAATTATAGCTGATGGGACCTGGAGAGATAGCTCAGCAGTTAAGAGCCCTGGTTGTTCTTGCAGAGGACCTGGGTTCCTAACAGCCATTCATAACTCCAGCTCCAGGGCCCCTTCTGACCTATACACTCATACACATAAAATAAATTTTTAAATGTTTAAAAAATTATAACTAGAGGCTGGAGAGATTGCTCAGTGGTTAAGAGCACTGACTGCTCTTGCAGAGGACCCAGGTTCGATTCCCAGCACCCACATGGCGGCTATGAACCGTACGTAACTCCAGTTCCGGGGAATCCGAAGCCTTCTTCTGACCTCCATGGCATTGCATGACACAGGTGCATTCACATACATGCAGGCGATACACTTGTACACATAAAATAAAAATAATAAATAAAATACTTTTAAAAATTATGACTAGTAGCAAAGGCTTTTCTTGCAATTTAGCCAATGTTTTATTGTCTATTAATCAGAGCCCCAGTAACCACGTGTGATGGGCATTAATACTGTCATTTGGTTCCTGCTCCCTGTACCTTTTACTGGAATTTTTTCATTTATTCCTTTTTTAATTAATTAAATTTGGTGTTAGACAATTTCCCACATGTAAACAATGCACACCAACCACTGTCTTCCTCTATCTCCCTGCTACTCCTGTCTACCCTCCTTCCACCCCCAAATCTCTCTCTCATGTTCATGTTTATTTGTTTAACTGGAATTTATTCACAGATAATATATTTATTTTTGTACTTGGCTAAATTTACATTTAGAACTTCTGTATTAGTCAAGTTTTTCCAGACACACCAAACCCATAGGACAGAGACAGAAATGATAGAGACAGAGACAGAAACCAAGATAAAAATAGAGAATAGGAGATTTATTAGAAGGACCTGGCTTCATGATTATGGAAGAACTGATGGTAAGAGCTCCAAGCCAAAGGCATACAAGCTCAAGGCCTAGCAAAAATTAATATTCCACTTTCCCAATGAAGGGGAAAAACTGACATAACAGATCATCAAGCAGAAAGAACTCTCTGACTTAGGGGAAAGGCAGCCTCTTCATCTACTTAGACCATCAACTGATTAAATGAAGCCCTCCCACTTTCCCATATTAAGGAGAGCAATTTGTTTTATTCAGTTTAGTAGCTTAAATATCAATATCATTTAAAACCTTTCTCAAAGAAACACATAAAATAATATTTGACCAAATAGCTGGGCACCCCATGGCCCAGTCAATTTGATACATAAAATTAACCCGTTTCCAAATTCAATTTGTAAGAGATCTAATCTCTTTCACTTGAGACTTATTTCAGCAAAGTTATCAAGTTCCTCTCTTTGCTGGTTCCTTTTTGCAGCTGTGATAAAATTCTATGACCAAAAGCAACTTAGAGGAGAAAGGGGTTTATTTTAGCTCACAGTTCCAGAAGAATACAGTCCATCAAAGCAGAAAAGGCTTGGGAACAGGAGCTGGAGGCCAGCCTGACAGTCAGGAAGCAGGGTCACATTTCATCCTCACACAGGAAGAGAGAGAGAGAGAGAGAGAGAGAGAGAGAGAGAGAGAGAGAACAGGAACTGGGAACTGGCTATAAACCCCACAAAGTCCATCACCATCAAAGTACTTCCTCCAGCGAGGCTTCTCCTAAAGATTCCATAACTTTCCCAAATGGCAACACCAATTTGATTCAAATATTGGAATACCTGGGGCAGGGGGCTCACGTTTCTAACTCAAACCGTGACACTGGACTGACTCTAAGGAAGACCAAGTTTGCTCAGCTGGCAACTCTGTCAGAATTTGAATTTACTCATAAATCCATTTCCACTGCACATACTCCTGCACACACAGCAGTATCCTGGCAAAGAGGTGCCTCCACTTCAAGAAGACTGAGCAAAAAGACTTTAAACAGGAATTATCTTGTTTTTTTATTTGAATATCTGAATGAATATATGTGAAAAAAAATCAAGATTTTACTTATATTTTGGTTGAGCCATATGATGAAATGGGTCCATCCCTGGATAGACAAACAACCACATGATTTTGGAGGACTTTGACTCCACATTGGCAACAAAGAGTTTCATGTGTCACACATTTAGAACATTTTTGCGAAATAAAAATATATATCAGCTCAATAGAGTTGAGTTTTGTCTGGATAGGTAACTCACACCTTCCCTTATATATTAGTCACTTTTCTATTGCTGTGATAAAGCACCATGACCAAGGCAACTTATAGAAGAAGGCTTATGGTTCCAGAGAGGTAAGAATTTGTCATGGCAAGGAGGCATGGTGGCAGAGGAGGCTGGAGCAGAAAAGCTGAGCATTCACATCTTCAAACAGGAAAAGGAAGCAGAGAGCCAGGCTGGAAGTGGCCAAACTACATATTCTCAAAGCCCGCCATCACTGGCATGCTTCTTGTCCAGCATGGTCACACCTCCTAAAAGTTCCATGACTCTCCCCAAATAGCACCACGAGCTGGGGACCAAGTGTCCAAATACTTGTAGTCTATGGGGGGCATTCTCATTCAAAGCATCACACTTTACATGAGTACTGATGTTCAAACATTCTTTCAAATTGCCCAAATTTATAAGATTTGAGCGAGTAAGAAATAAAGACACCATTAACATAACAAAAAAGGTAAAACCATAAAAGGAGAGATTTGCTTTAAGAATACGTAAAAATATTAAGCTTCTATATATCAGAAACAATAAAAGCAAAAATAAAATGATAGAGTGCCAAAAGAAATAATTTGATATATATACATATATACATATATGTATACACACACATACACACACACATATATATATATATATACACACACACACTATGTAGTACACAGCATAGAAAAATAGGCAAGGATAATTCACAAATTTAAAAAACATTCAAAAACAGGCCACCCGTGCTCTCCCTCAGTGCTTCTGTGAAGTTACTGGTATAAACCATGGTTCATCATCAGAAATATTTGTTAGTTGACTGTCAGTAATATAATACATTGAAAACAACATAAATATTCAAAAACAGGGAATTAATTCAGTTATGGTATGGATTTAGTAGAGTACTACTAGCTGTCCAATACTTTGTGTAATATTTACTGGCATGAAAATATGCTCATGATATTACACTAGTTTTAAAAGGGAAATTAGGGGATGGCTCAGTAGGGAGAATCGTTTGACGCACAAGCCTGATGATATTAGTTCAATCCCTGGAAGCCACATAAAGGTCAAAGGAGGGAATCAACTTCCAAAAATTGTCCTCTGACTTCAACATATTCACTGTTGCATGCACATACCCTCCCCCATACAATAATAATAACTAATAAAATAAAAGAATTTAAAGGAAAGTTAAAAATTATATGTACATACTTTTTGTTTGAAAAATGGAAAGGAAGCAGCTGATTCAAATATTGCATTATTTCTGGGTTCCTATCCGATTTTTACAGGTATTATTGTATATATACACAATTTTTTAATTGACTAATGTGTAAAATAACTTCCATTTTAAAATAAAACTTACAGAGTATATAATAAAAGTGAGTCTACAGTTCCCCTGACTAAGGTGTTGGAACTATTGTTAGATTCTGGCCTCCAAGAGCAAACTTCTGCTCCTCCTACTTCTCAACCTGCTCCTTTGGTTTCTGAGCCCTAAGACTTCCTCCTCTTCCATTCCCCTGAGTTTGCAGAATCCTTCCATCTGCCCTGAATTATGTAACAAGTAGACAGTGTGAACAAAGTTTGAGTAAATCTTAGCAATAGTTAAGCCACAGTGGGTAAAACTTGAAATAGTCCCTATGTGCCAAATCTATGCACTTCAATGTGCTGCTTTGCACAATTTCCCAACAGTTCTCTGTGGTGTTTTATCATTATCATCCAAATTTTACTGATTGGATAACTGTGCCTCTGAAGGGTCAAATAATCACACAGCCTGGTATTTACAAAGTCACAGTTATGAATCCATGGAGTCTGTCTCTAGGATCTGGGAGCTGAGCAATGACCTGAGTCCACACAGTAACTGGCAATGCTGGAAATCAGAAAGCAAGGTCTGTTTACACTAGGAACATGTGAGGGTCAACAGTACAAATGGCAATTAAAATGCAAATGAAAACGTTTTATATTTAAATATAAAATTGAAATTGCTCTCACAAGCTTATCAAAATCATAGTTTTAAGGGCTTAAAAATAAGGTGCTCAGTAGGTAGTGCCTAGGCCTCATCCTAAGGACTTGAAAGTTTACAGCATAAAAATAACGCAGTATGCTATCTTTTCTGCCGCACGGTTCATGACCCTCAAGGTCTTTGCTCCTTCGGTTCTCTAGGTCTCTTAATTCCTTACTGTCAACCCTTCCATGTGTTCTATCTAGACGCATCTCATCAGCCTGCAAACATTATTTTTCTCACTTAAAAAAAAAAAAATCCTCCTTGATCTCAGATCTTCCTTTAACCATTAACTACTTTCTACTTTTTAATCTACTATCTTTTACAGCCAAATTTTTCAAAGAAATGTCTCCAAGCATTATCTAAACACCATTAAATTACCAGAAATATCATTATATATTTAAGTCAAGATAAACTTTTTTATTTATTTATTTTTATTTAATAACCACATGACTAGAAGAAGCATTTCATTACAGCTTTAACATATTTAGTAACAGTTTCCAGAGCAAGGATACATATCTTTCAAAAGTGGCTGTAAATTTTTAGGTTCGCAGTTGAATTAATACAATCATACAACATTGAACTCAGTATAAACCCTGTAAGAGATAAAATTGAATGAGTTTTTAACCTTTAAAGAAGATCTCCATTTCATTTTAAAATATGTGGTTTCCTACATTTTTAATGCTACTAAT